TTGCTAAGGCTTCTCAGGAGTGAAATTACCTATATATCATGTTTTAATTCAGCTGTTTTTACAATTCTGAAGCTGTTCCACTCAGAATTAAAAGATCTTCAATGCAATAAATAAACACTTAAGTACAAGAGATTGGCCACAAATTGGATTAAACCCAGAATAAACCACAAAATTACTATTCTGAAAACAAACTCTCAGAAACAATACTCATGAAACAATACGAAATATTACAACAATACAGAAAGTAAAAAACTGCAACAAAAAGGATTAAAATATTTACATCATTTATTTCGTTTGATGTGCTAGCTATGTGTATCTTAATGTCATTTTTTTTCTATCACTGTAGATTTTGAGAAATTCCCTCCCCCCCATAATTCTTCTTCCTCCTTTTTTTTTTTTTTTTTTTTTGAAAAGGGATAGTTCTGGGAACACCTTTTCCAGTATAAATTTATGAAACTGTGCTTGTGGTTTTTATACAATTTAACCTTGTGAAAGGTTTCATAGAAATATTCCACTTTTGTAAACCCAGAGAAACCTGTGTATGTACATATGTTGCTTCTCTTCTTAAGTAAAGACACTATTTATTATTGCAAACTGTTACAAATTTTTATATGTGTAAATTGTATCTCTTGCATAAATTAACATAAAAGCCTCAAGAGAGTGAAGCTTCACTGTAAAAGTTACAGGGCAAGTCCATTTAACATTGAGGTAAATGGCTGTCTCGCCAGTGGCTGTCTTACCAAATTGGCAACATAACATCAAGCTAACAGTGGTTTGGCGACTAATTTTTGTCACCAAATTTAGCAGCAAATCAACTAAAAGTCGCAAAACTTGGTGACATTTTGGTCTTATCCTTATATGTAATTGCAACTGTATCTGGCCCTATATTTAACTTTATGCCTCCAGCATCTTCAAAACTTTCAATATCTTCAAGAAATCGAAGATACTGAAATTTCTCGGCAGATGAGGGAAAACTATAAACCGAAGAGAGCATAATCAGAGTTTAGCACAGATTATTGAGAGATTGCTGTGTGAGGTTATGCGTTGAGGCTTTTTATATTGTTTTGTATTGTGGTAACTACTGATTCTGCTCTGTCATACTGAGAAAAGTTGTATGAGTACTTCTGTGAAAAGTTCCAGAGCTGTGAAGTGTTATTTTTGGGAAAATAAATTTTACCTAGTTATTGCTTCTGCAAGCATTCAATCCATTATAAACCCCTACACACGTAACAGTACTTATAAAGAAAATCTTTGCTGTTCTATAAGATTAAATTTAATTAAAAAAGAAAAAATGGGTGTAAAAGTTTTAGAACATAATTCTGCATTTCTTTTCGAACTACAACATGGTATATGCAGTTGAACATCAAAAATTCTGAAATCAATCATTTATTGTAAAATATTTTATTTATATGATTTCCTTAAATTTATTATGTTTTAAATTGTCATGCAAATGAACTTAATTTTTTGCTGTTTAATTTTTTGTTGTTTATTCATTGTATTCAAAATTTGAATATCTGAAAATCTTAAAAAAAATTTCTTTTGAGAACTTCAATTTTTTTGGAGGAGGGATGGGACAAAAACCTTTCTAAGCTTGTTCAAGTTTTCTGTTTACCAACTTATTTTATTTTTAAAGTTTGCTGTTTTTATGCAGCCTGAACAGTTAGAATTAACTGGTACTGAAACACAAATTATTCATACTTATGAAATAATTTTTTCTTTGATATGTTTTATATTAATTTTTATTTATTTATTTATTTAATAGAAAATTCTCTGAAAATCCAGAAAATGACAACATCAAGTTGAAAAAGAGTGATGCAAATATCCTCTTTGGTGAGATTTTAACAGATGTTAAACAAGGAGATAGTAAAGTATATGAGATAGCAATAAATGTATTGCTTTCTTGTATCAGAAATAAAAATTTAGCAAAGTAAGTTAGTTAAGAGAAATGCATTATGTATATTAAGTATTTATGTGATTATTGATAATTATGATAAAAAAATATTTTATTTCCATCTTTCTTCGGCTCTGGAATGCTATCAGTTCTAAGATATGCTGTTTAATTTCAGCTCTTCCTATGGGAGTTGGCACATTTTGGTTGGATATTAGATTCTTGAGAAATCAAATAAGTGAAGTGTTAAAATATATCTATCTATATAAAAGATTTAGATTTATTAGTAATAGTTACCTCTTTCTTAAAATATTACTTTGTTAATATATTTCTTCTTGTGAATAAAATGTGCAACATGTTATTGCAGGGTTGTTACGCTACCTGGAAACCCGGAAAAAGTCAGGGAATTCGAAAATTGACCAAACTAGTCAGGGAATTTAAGTATTTTAGTCAAAATCTGGAAAAGTCATGTAATTTCATATGGCGATCCCCCCAAAAAGTGGGGTTTTGCACCAACGTTAGAAGTGATCACTTTCTTGGGGAATTATGTATCACATGAGTGTCATTCGGGCAGCTGGCAGAGCCGATTTTCACAGCTCCAATCAGGTTGCCTTTTAGAAAGTCAAAACAAGTTTCCAGCAACTTTTATTTCCAGTAACCTTGAGAATCTAGAAACTCGCATATGCATGTGCAGTGCATATTGAACTAAAGAAAATATCTTCCCTTTCTCATATAAAACAAAATTGGTTTAATCCTAGTATAGGATACCATGGAGGTTAGAATAGCCTCCATGTATGGTACACACAGGATTTGGCGACATTAGGATGGTTGGTGACAATTTTCAAAATCGTGCCAAAGCCATAGTGTATATTGCAAAATCTTTTAAAACTTTTTTTTTTCTTTTTAATAAATGCCTTATTTGTCATTTTGCAGTAAAATAATAATAATAAAAAAAAAATCAGTCATCTAGGCTAATCATTTAATATAACTATATTTGCCAAAATTTCATTGAATATTGTAATTCAGTTTTTAAGCGATTAACTTTATTTTAGTGTTATTTGTATCATTTAATGTTGCTTCTTCCCTCTAAATTTAGTTGTTATTAAATAATAATACTTTCAAATTTCACGTAATTTTCTCTTGTCATAATTCTGAAACTAATTTCTAGCAGTATGATGACATACTATCATGAAATTTAATGTACATACTTTTTGCTTATCTGTGTTGCTAAATAAATATAAAATATCTGAATTTATTTTAAAATTTCATTAAATAGATTTCTTTGTTTTGTTTAGCTGCAAAAAATGTATGCATAAAAAAGACATTCTTTAATCCAGATTGGGCAGATTCTAGTCTCAGTCTTCAGTGGAGAAAACAGCTCCTGTTATGGTTATAATAGTAATGCTTTGGGAATTATATATATAATTACAAAACAATTTTTTAAAAACAAAATATAAACATGCCTAGTATTTTTGACATTAGGCTGCTGAAAAAATATCAGTAAAGACATAAAGTAAAGAAATTTAGAACTAATTTTTCACAAAGACCAGAAATTAAAATTCATAATTTATAAATTTAAAATAATCCCATAAATGCAAAAAAGAATTTAAAAAATGTTAAAACCAAAACTTTTCAAATAAACAATACCCCAATTAAAAAAAAAATTAAAGAAAAAGTGAAATAATAAAATACTTTAGTGAAAAATTAAAATTAAAATTTTCACTTAAGTTTTATCATAAAGTTATTTTTATCATATCACTGAATTTTCACTAAAGTTTTATCATTCCACTTACGTTTTAAATTTTTAAACGGATTATATGCTCTTTGTTTAAAGGTAAAATTTTGATTTGAATTTTTCACTGAAATATTTTATTGTTTCACTTATGTTTTCACTCTTTAACTAAAATTATCTTTATTTTAAGTACAAGATTTTAATTAGAATTTACTTTCATTTTTTTTCCTTGCTTTGGGGAAGGGCAGAATTTTCAGGTGAACTGTTATAATTAAAATACATTGAAATGGTTCATCAGCTAATTCTGGATACGGAAAAGCAAGGATTTTTGTGGAAGAGAGACTTCATTTGATTTCAGTGTTCCTCCTCCTGATGAAGTGACATTAAAGTTGATTGAATTCCTCTTCTATTATATTTGTTTTTCTTTAAATTATGTTTGTTTTTCTTTCTTTTGAAAAATTAGTTCTAAATTTCTTATTTTATGTCTACAAAACTCATTTGCAATTGGCAAATTTTTGTGTTGTCAAGTGGTACCATAATTAATTTACTTCTCAGCACAGCCAACACGCACTATACAGATAGACTGGAATTTTCTTAGAACACGCCTAGACAACCTGAAAAAGTTGGGAAATTTCATTCTACTGTTTGAGTGGCAACCCTGTTATTGTTACTTATCCTCCTGATCTGAATCAGAATCTAGAAGAAGTTTGCAAGTTAATCATACTCAAGAAGAATAGAGAAACTGTTATTAGACAAAACCTTGGATATCTTAATAGATGATAAAATGATTTTTCTATCAACTTCAATCCAAAATTTGATCGAGATCACTCTGAGGTATGGAATCCTAGAGTCTCACCAATCCTGAAGCTTAGAACAGTCATGTAAGCTAGCATGATATTGCAGTCATGTAAGCTTAGAGCAGTAAGCTAGCATGATATTGCAGTCATGTAAGATTAGAGCAGTAAGCTAGCATCATATTCTATTCCTACATAATAAAATTTCTGAGTCAGCCATTCTGCACATAATAATCTTTTATTGTGTGCAAAACCATGTACAAAATATTGCATGTGGAAATATTTTATTAAGGAGCAGTGGAAGATTCTTTCTTCGATCAGGCATTTAAATATGCTAACAAGGTGACACTTACAGGGAAACAAGATGAATTGATAAAGCTGTTTTATTGGAACGGAGAAGATGGTGCTGAAGCAGTACGAGTTTATTGCCAAAATCATAAGGAGGCCAAATTCCATAAAAACTGTATGTGATATCATAAAGAAATTTGAGGAAACTGGATTCACATGTGATAGACTGTGATTTGGATGATCATGGGCTCCTGTAGAAGTTGTTTCGTAAATGCATAGTACGATTACTGCTGGTCCAATACGTACTGCAAGAAGTGTTTCCCACGGAATTGGATGTACTGAAAACAACAGTTCTCAAGCTTTTGTGGATGTTTCCTCATAGATTCCAGCACTTCCAGATGGTTTAATTTGGAGACAAACAACAGGGTGTCAACTTTGCGAATTTTTTCTTCACCAGATATGAGGAAGATAGCCAGTGGCAGCTGGAGATATTATGTACAGATGAAGTACATTGCTGTTGAAATGGAAACATAAACTCCACGAACTGCATTCACTGGGCTTATGAAAATCCTCATGATGTGTCACCAGAGCCTTTGCATGAAGCTGAATTGATTGTGTGGTGTAGCATCGCAAGCACATTTGTTCTCGGTTGCATTCACTGGGCTTATGAAAATCCTCATGATGTGTCACCAGAGCCTTTGCATGAAGCTGAATTGATTGTGTGGTGTAGCATCGCAAGCACATTTGTTCTCGGTCCATACGCCTTCGAACTGGCCACTTTCAAAGGTATGAAAACATACTCCATAACAAATGCTCAGTGTACAACAATGTTGCCAAAGTACATAATTCCAGATTTGCAGCAACAAAATGTTAATGACATTATATGGGTGCTCGTCCCTACATCACCACATGCATTCAGCAAGTGCTGCGACAGCACTTTTGAAATAGTCATCTCCCATAACTTTGCAGTTTCATGGCCACCCTAATCTCTCTACTTCATTCCTGTGAATATCTGAGTGAGGGGTTATTTGAAATCTAAGGTGATACACATCAAATTCACGAAATTTGTCAGAACTGAAAGTTGGTTAAAACATAAAGTTATACAGATTCTCATGCAATGAGATATCTGCAAAGGTGGCAATTTGAGAATCTGCAATTCCAATAAAAGTTTTTCCCCTTTCCTGCCTTGTGTTGTCATTGGCCCTTTACAATGCTGTTTTTTCAAGTGCTTTATTCCAGGAATTTTCATCATGCATGCATTGTTGAAATGTCATTTATGGTTTTTGAATGCATTTGTCACAGAAAAAAAGTAGGTGCTGCTATTAAAAAATTTTGAAGTTTTTTTTTCACTATAACTGTAACCATGAGAGCTCTGCTGTTTTCAGTCATCAGAATCTGGAACTCTTATTTTTAAACAAAGGTATCTGAAATTTCATTTCATTTAATTGAGTGGATAGGCTGCTAGGGGTTCATATATCAGGGAAGTTTTTTTATGACCACCCTGTATTTTGGCAGTAATAAGTACACCAGAATATTTTAATGAGGGAAAAAAATTGTAACCTTTATCAGTAATATATTTAGGGAGAGGACAATTAAAAAACAGTATTAGGATATTATGTAAAATGAATGCATGTTAAAATATTTTGCTTTTTGAAAAGTGGAATCTGTTTTAGTTCTCATGAAATGCAGGAAGTTTTTCTATGAACCTGATACTGGATGTTGAGATTTAGTTGGTTATTTTAAAGATATAATTTTGTTATACTCTTATTTGTAAAATATTAAATGTTTACTTTAATAAACTGAATATATTTTATCCTTGTGTTTAGAAGTTAAGAGTTCACTGTTCTGTAATTAAGCATGGAACTTAATTTGTTTAGTATTTTAGGTTTTAAAAGTATTCATTCAATACTGTGGGGTTCTGGAATCTTCAGAATTAAACATAATAAAAAAAATTCATGCATTCTGTTTTACATTGTTTTTCTGTTAAAATTTCAAATTTCAAAAAAAAAAAAAAAATTTTTTTTTAGTCTTATTTATAGTAGTTTTTGTAATTGACATGTGCCCTTAAAAACTGTTTCTTGATTTTAATTATTTTATTGCCTAGGTTGTTACCAGATGAGCAAAAACATGAACTGCTTAAAAGTAAGTTGATTGAAGAGAAGATGCAAAAGAAATGCCTGAAAATAATCATAAACTGAATAGTAAATTTTAAAGTAAAATGAACTTTCTGTTAGAAAAGTTTAATTTTATAATAAATATGGACAAACAGAAAAGTAAATAATTATTTGCATGGATTTTATAAAAACAACTAATTATAGGCATAGCTGTCATACACACTATAAAATAAATTCCATACTCTTCTTCAAATTTTCTGAAATAAATATTTGCACATATTTTTTTAAACATTTATATATATTTCATTATTACCTTTTTGGGGGGTGGGAATGAAGGGGCTTTTTATTTTGGCATTGTTATTAAAATTCTTTTACTTTAAAATGCAGAATTAAATTGTGTGCAATCCTTCAAACAAAAAACCCTTAAATAGTTCCCAGCATTGTAATAAACAAATATATTTTTTGTTAAGTAAGCCTTTCAAATTCCCCTGTACTTGTTTACTTATATTTTTGAAATGTACGGGAAACTGAAACTTTATAATGTAATGAAAATAATCTCTCTAAATTTTGGCACTGAGATAAATAATTTCCTGACATGTGCATTTCATATTTTTGTAGTATTACACAGCATCAAGTTATTTTTTCTATTGAGTGTCCAATACAATGTTGCTAAAATCTTGCCTTAATTTAATTTAAAGTCATACAGTATCTAAGCCGCTTAAATGATTTTAATCTAATTAAACATACATATTTTTAGCAGGTTTTATAAAATCTAAAAAGGTTTGCTAAAATTTATCTTAGAATATTCTTATTTTCTGGCTTCTGTAAATTGTATCGTAGTTATTGTTACTATGTGATTTTCCCATATTCTGCTCATTTATAACTCATTATTCCATTGTTTTCTTTTTCAAAATTTAGTAGTCTAAATAAGGACCAAAAATAAATTTTTTGGGTAACTTTTTAGTAATATCAACTGCGTTCATAACTTAAGCATTAAGGACTATTTAAAAAAATAGCAAAGTGGAATTTTAATTGTGAAAAAATGTAAAACAAGTGAGTGAGATTAAAATATCACATATTTTAAAAGCTAAGGACTGGTTCATAATTTGTTTTAATACCAGACAGGTGGCATTGTGTAACATTATGTAGTTTATTTCTCAAATTATACTGGTTTAAATTATTTAAACTGTGAGAAATAGGTCACATCTCTGTAAATTACTCTCATAATTTACCAAATTAGGCATTTGCACAGTCAAGCTTCGATCTCGCATACATTTGGTCTACAATTTATCCATGCCAAACTGAACTGCACAACAGACTTCTCTTAAAACTGGCTTTTGGGGGGTACTTCAGACTTTTATTCTGTGTAGTTTTAAAATTTTATCTCTTGTAGTAAAGGTCATAAAAGTCACATACATCATAATAATAGTATGCATGTGAAAACAAGGTTGTTTTCATGAATCTTTTTAAGAATAAAATTAATTAAATTTACACAAAATATAAATAAATAAATTTTATCTTCAAGATTTGGGCTTCAAAATTCACATACACAGGTGCAGGTATATGTGTAACAAAAATTTGAACTCTTTATGTGCTGCTTTCTTTCCACATTGGAACAAACATACTCACAGATTCTTTATGTTTTTCATAATTGGGATATTACTCATATGTGCTTTTTAAGGTTTCTTTATGGAGCTCTCATTATTTACAATACAGAATTAAATATTAAATTACAGTTATACTCTAGTATCTGCTTATTCATTATCTGCGGTTCAGAGTGGCGCAGGGAAAAAATTATGTATCGTTATTTTAGAAATGAAATTGAAGTAATTGCAGATTGTAACAAAGCCAAAATATATATTTTTTTTTAATATTGTATTCTCGCACATCTGCACTGTAATGTAATAACGTGTATTTGTCATTAGAGAACTTCCTGTTCTCTTGGGAATGATTCCCAGCTATCAACTGTAGGACCAGTGAAAGTGATACTGAAAAGACTTGTTAAGGATATCACTTTTGGCAGTGTTTCCATTGACTTATCTTGTAAGAGTAAAAAGGTTGCTTTTGTCTGCGAAAGGCCGCGAAATTAAGACACATTCGAGCGTCTGGGAAACTGTTATTTTCTCCTTTCTGTAATAATACTGTAATGTTACTTTTTTATTAACCAAGAAAGCCTATGTTAAGTTTTAACATTAATCTCAGAAGACAGTCTAGTTATTCCCATCCCGGAAACTCAGCGACATTACAGCACATTAATTTCAGATTAATAAACTAAATACAAGAAATAGAAAAATTTATTACAGAACATTTTATATGTACCCTTAGGTTCTGCAGCAACTGATGATCATAAACATTTTAGTAGAAAATTTCCACTGTCAATGGTCACAAAATATTTATTTGATTTATGCTTGTTTCTGTACTCGTATTTCTTTTAAAAATTTTTTCCAGTTTTGTTTATAACATTCACCGTCTAGCTGTTTCAGCATAGGACTAGTGGTGCTACAATGTTTAAAAATTATTAGTGTAGTACAAGTGCTAACTGAAACGGTACGTTATGCTGTACAGTGCAAGAACAGGATTTCATTCATTTCTCACTTGTCTTTTGTGAATTAAATTAAAATGTGAGAATCTTTAACTTTTGTAGGTGCAAGAGACAATTTGTTTCTTATTTACAATCTAGTATTTTACATTATTTAGTAATACAATATGTAATGTATTTTAGTTTACAAATTTCTTTAATATAATTTTATTTAATACTGATAATACCTTACTCTGAATAATGTATCAGTTAAATTTACGAGTGATTGTGTATGTTGCATGAATACTTTGGTTTAAATAGGTTTTTTTTTTTTTTTCTTTTTTCTGTGGTTTTTCACATATCAGCTGTAGATCTTGTAGTGTATCAGTGATGGATATGGAGCTACTACTGTTGTTTTTCTTTGTATTTAAAAGTGGTTTTAGGTATTTTAAATCATCTTATGTGCTGTTTTTCTTACTATCTTTAGATGTTATTGGCCAGATCCAGATAACCCAAAATGAAGTGTTAAAAGCGAGTTTTACATTTCTGGCTGATGTGTCATCTGTCATAAAATTTAATGAAGATATGGTAAGATAATTTTCATTTCTTTTCAATTTAAAAAATAATATGTATTGTCAGGTGAGTTTATTTCTGATACCAAAAAATCTTAGGAGGAGACTGTAAACACTCTAAACTACAGTTCTGATAACATCCAATAAAAGTAAAATGATCACAATACTTCAGAAGATATACATAAAAGTACAGTAATTTATTGTGCCTTTCCTATATACTTGTACTTCTTTTTATTGAGATTTCTTTATTTTTTGACTGGTTTTATTTAGATTGGTTTCTCTGTTAATTTAGGCTAGATATTAAAATTAAATTAGAATTCTCTTTAACTGAGTCAATTATCTTGAAAGCTTCCACATATATATTTGCAATCAGAGCACTATATTCCACAGTCTCTAAAATCTGATAATTTTAACATTTAAGTTATTTTTTATGAATTTTTCACATATATATTTGCTTAATGATCTAGCTAATCATAATTATCGAAGAGAAGGATAGATAATTAATTCTCCAAAATTTACCAAACTTAATAAAATTTACTGATTTTCAGTGAGTTTTTTCGAAAATTATTTTATAGGCTGTTAAAATTTATGGAAAATGGATTTCTAAAATTAAAGTTCTTGATGAGAACTTGATATCAATTTAAGTTGTTAGAGAGATAAATCTTGAAAGCTGAAGTTTCCTCCTATATCGATTGGAAGTTTTCCTATGTATGTAGCAGTAGTAGAAGTATGAAGCAGAGGTTTTCATTTATTATGTGTTATCTCATTTGTAAACTAAAAAGTAGGAAGGAGGGAAAGTTACAAGGTATTACTTGAATGTATTAACTCTCTCAGCGTTACGAACGGATTTTTCCGTATTGAAAGATGGATCTGAAAGCGTTTCAAACGATTTTTTCTGCCTTACATTTTCCGCCCCGAAATTGTTGAAGACGGAATATTCTGTACTGTCGTTCCTCTGACCTCCTGTTGTGCTTAATTGGTAGTGGGGAAACAGCGATCGTTAGAGAAAGATGCTACAATGGGAGGGTCATAAATAAAACATCAAATCCAGCCGTAGCATCTGCTGACCTGAGGGCGATTTTCGATTTCGAAAAAGGTCCAAATGATATTTGATTATGAATATTTTACTGTTATGAAGATGTGTTTATTTCCAAATTTTGAAATGGTTGGGACAGAAAATTCTCAGCAGGTAAGAGTAAATATTTATGAAAAAATATTTATTAGTCAAAGAAAAATGTAAATAGCTTTTTTTTTAAATCGTCGCAAACCTTATACGAAGGTGTGAAAAATATGATGGTAATCTGGGTGATGCAAAAAAATTCCAAAAAGGAAATAAGAATCTCCGAGTCTTTATCATATCAGATTTAAAATGACACACTAGATGCTCAGTAAGATAGACCTTTCATGGAGGACTTTCGGAGGGAAACAATTGTATTAGGACTACAGTTAATTAAAACATGAGGGTCTGTCTGCCGTATGGGGGGATGTTTTAGAAGCCTTTAAAAAACTGTCTCGTCTTCACGTTAACGGGGGGGGGGGGAACTCAATCCAGATCAAACTATTAGTGTTAGTGACGTTACTGCTCGGCTATGGACGTCTATTTACGACCAAGGACTGATGGCTATTTTAATTAGGTACTGATACCATTTTTTTAAATCATTAGTTATACTTATGATGGGGTTTTACTATAAAGCCATTATGTATCAGTTTTTGAAATTAAAAACAAAATAGGTCTATTTAAAATTTAATATCTATGCTTCGTTTGAAATATTTCTTTTTGGTTTGGTTAACTTGAAAAAGCTCTCGAGGATTATCTGCCAAAGATAGGATGCCTTCATGGAGAACTGTCTAAAAGAAAATGGCTCCTATACATGTTATACAATGAAAAAAATCACAAAAACGTCCATGCAGCCAACCCGTTCACTCGGATTCGAACCGAACTACCAGTGTTCAGCAATTTTACTGCTTGTCCGTTTGTGGGGCTATCACCTTTTGAGATAATTATTATCATAATATTATGTTTTAATAAGCATCAAAAACAATCTATAGTTACTGTTGTGATTTATATTTCCAGTTATGTTAATCTCGTAATTAATATCTTGTGTATTTGACGGCTCTGTGCCTAAGAGCAGTAAAGTTTCAATCGATTACTTTATAAGCGGAACTGGCTCATATCTACATTATACATGGGAAACCACCGTAAGTAATAAAAATGTGGGAATATTTTTCTTGTCACTGTCAATGAGACCAATCGTACGGTTTGATATTCACTTTTGGAGTAAAAATACATTGAGGAAGAAATCAATTTTGGGACAAATAAAAAAAAATTAATGAAATAAGTATTATAAAAAAGCAAATTTCTTTTATATTTTGGGTCATTTGTTACAATTTACTTTGTGTTTTAATAGCTTTTCATATTTTATTTCAATATTGCTTTATTAATTCTTAAATGTTGTAAAGCGAAAATTTGAAGGTCATAAATTCTTCAATTCTAATAATCCTTTTCAGTTCTCAATATATTCTGGATATTATACAAAAGATATAGTATTCACTAATTAATATGCAATTATCGGTAAGTGCATTTTGGTAGTGATTTATTGTAGCATAATGCCATGCTGCAAATGATTGCACAACTAAACAATTTTTTCACAGTTCTGGCCGCCCGGGTTCAATTGAAAATAAATAAATAAAATAGGCTGCGCACAACGACTGTTTGCTCATTTATACATGTATGAAGCAAATTTCTTTGTTCTCCAAAAGAAAGAATATGTCAGTGAATATGTTTTTCAATGGCTTGAATAAGAAATCCATACTCGCGCGCAAATTAAATGATATTATTTAATCAAAATTTTGCAGAGAATTTCAAATAGTACTTTCAAGCACTAACGACACAGAAGTAGCATTTAAAGTTTTAAACGCGGTATTCGATGTTTCAGCATCTTTTATAAGTGCTATGAACATCTTACTCTATAAAGTTCTTTAGCACGGTAAGGACAACACATGAATTGGCACTTTTTTAGCCAATCGCTTTACGACACTTAAATTCACATGGTCTGTCATATATTCGTAGCCGAAACATCCATAACTGAAAGCTTAACTGTATTCAATAAGTTCTTACATTAAAGTCCTAGCCGCTAACTCTTTTTAGATTTGCCGGATATAATAGGTATTTGTCTAAAAAGGGATGTAAAGTCATTTGAATATGTTTTCCTTTTAAAAAACTTGGTATTTCGTGAAAAATAATAAAAAGATTTGGCATGACTAAGTTCAAGAAGGGGAACAAATATTTTAAAATGATTCCGGCATAAGAAAGTAAGTCGGTAACGGCAACATAAATATAATCGGCATCATATCAGCTAAGATGGGCAAAGAGAAACACGTTCCATTCCTACTAAATGGTTATATAACTCTCCTTTTATAAACAGTTAAAAAAGAGAAATCTATATATCATTTCATTTGTGAATTAACATTAAAGGCATGTTGTAATAATATAAATATTTGCTTGTTATTTTATGAAATAGGGGTCTGAAGCCATTCAAATATCCTCGAGAATTTTAACAAATTATTTTAGGGTACAAATTGTACGCTTTTTATGCAAAATGCAAACTCAGAATATAATTTGGTTTTATTAAAATTAAGCGTTGTGAATTTAAAATATATGACTCTACAGAAAGTATCTACAACTATCTTTATTGCCCTTTTTTCTATTTATCATCGCAAAAAAAATAATAGCATCTATCGGAAAAGCAATGATTAGATGAAAAATAGGTCTGGGAAACTTTTTTTCCTCCTTGCTTTAGTTTTTCTTATGGACGTTATGCACGGCTTAACTGCTATAGATCCTTTATTTAAATACTTATCTAAAACGTTTTATAAGAAAAAGAAAATAATGCTACGCAAACCATTTGGTGAAAAGTTAGGAACTGGGTTCAGTGCCCCCCAAATAGTAAAAATGAAAACAATAAACTGAAAGCTTCAGAGGGCATATTAGGTCCAAACAGGCAGTTTGTTTCATTTACAGGACCATACATGTTCGAGAGCATTGGGTTACGCCACTTTAAGCTAAAATATTCGAAAATAGTATAGCTTAGCTTTCCATACACAGGAGCAAAAAGTTTATTCCTTACAGTGTTGCCACTGCTCGCTATGAAACTGTTGAGTTTTTTAATCAAAAATCTGTTAAAGTTTTACAGAATATGAAAGAGACAATAAAAACAATTACTGATTCCAAATCCAGGCTTCCGAGTGCCCTTGTTCGGGTGAAGGACTATGTGATCCAAAATTATATGACTCTTGGTTACGTTTCCACAATGCGAAAAACATACATACGTTCATGTTGATTATCGTTATTTAGGTTCTTTAAATACAGGACGATAAAATATTCGGTGGCAATAGCTCGGGAAAATGATTCAGGCATTTAAAATGATTCAGTGTAAAATGGCCTTTCAAAACTAAAAGCTCTTTTGTGCTAAAACTCATTCGGGCTTTGAAAAGGAATTATAAAATTAAAAACATTAAAATAAAATCCGAAAGCTTTCATATTTTATATTACGCCCAAAGGGACATTTTTTGACATTTTGTGTGTTATCTTTATTTATTAAATAACATGTTCTTCGCACTTAAGCCGCATAAATTCCTCAGCAATATCATAAAATATTTAAAAACAGTATATCTTTAGAATTTCCGTTATACAATCTCAGACGCTGGAGATAAAAATGTTTTATTCTTTACAGTGTTGCCACTCTCGCTTTCAAATTGTTGAATTTTATAATCAAAAATACCTTAAAGTTTTACAAAATGTGAAAGAGATAATAAATTAAATTTGAAATTAAAAATTCAGGTTTCTAGGTTCGCATGCTCGGGTGATGGATTATGTTATTCAAAATTTGGTGGCTCTACGTACTGTCGTTATTTCACAGTGCAATAAATATACATATATTCATGCAGATTCTTCATTATTTAATTTCTTTAAATATAATACAGGGTGATAATATTTGGTGGCAACAATTTAAAAGT